ATCAATTGTTACAAAAGATGGGCACTAAGAACCTGAAGCATCCTCGCAAAGCAAAGCGCTTGAGGGAGATTACTTCTTGTAAGATTTCAACTGGTCGAACCGTGCAAAATATACTCAGCACATCTGGTCGGTGGTCTCCCTAAAGGTCGTTTTGCTTCGCGAGGATGCTGCAGGGTTCTTAGTTTTCATTCGTCTATTCCTTTCATTATATGATTTTCAGTGCTTAACGAAGACATATTCCGCTGGATCGCGAAGCGGGAATTTACTATTTAAACTGTGAAGTCCGACGAGATGTTGGATACATCGGTTCTACTTCAGAAGGCAAGTTCTAGCGCTTGGGTTGTGCCTCCAACGTAGCCACCGTGTCAGGCTACGTCTTTGCTGCATAACAGAGTGCTGGAAGAAGGATTAAATCAAACGGGTGGGCACGGAGCTCTGGGATTGTCAGCTGGAATGTGGTTTCCTGTAGAGGCCCAAGAGCGGCCCAAGCCGCTCTTCGTCCCCTGTTTAGTTCTTCTTTCAGATCGTTCTTCATGTTCACTTAACGCCCGAGATGTAAAAGAAGATGTCTTTGCTATTGAATACCTAAGGGTGCAATAGAAAAACCGTAGTAGAGCAGTTCTGTAGCTGTAGGTCAATAGCCTCTCGTAGAAAGGTCCACCTCGACGAGGTCGACGAGCCTAAACTTATGGCATTAGTTCAACGCTGCCAAACGTTTTCTTATAGTTGACGAAGATTTGAACAAGTGGCAAGCGATATTCTAGGCAGCCAGTCCTCGAAACTGTCTGGATAGGATCCACGTAGCCAAATTCCTTGCAAAATCCCAATTGTTGTACAGGTTGGGCTTCATTCAGTGTCCTTGATATGCGCGTAAGGGTAATCTTTGTGATGAGCTCTCGCATGTATATTGCAGGTACCGCAAATCCCTCCTATAGCCCTTCTTATGAAAGAGCTGTAAGAAGTTCCAAAACGTGGTCCGTTCTGGAGCAGTGGCCACCTTATGGGAATTGCGGCGGGTACTTCAGAATCCGTGACTTTCTCCATTGGGGATAGCTAGGCTGACAGGGTATTGATGAGCAGAATAGATTGGCGCAGAATCTCGATTTCATCTTAAGTCGGAGATGTGCGAGTCCCGTCTTCGTTTAATTTGTTCTCAGCGGAATACGGTAGTCGAGGAGGTCCTGGCGGTACTTCTTTGGAGTTCTTTCCTTGCGATACTTAAAAAAGTTTCGGTTGCCTGTTTTTTCGAGGTCTTCTTGCAAAAATGTTTGGCATTCGTTACATGCAAAGGAGATCCAGCCCCAGTTCTCTCCTCCTTTCAAGCAAATTTCTTGTGGCTTTCAAAATCCGTTCTAATTTCCTTGTTAGGGGCATCTATGCGCTTTCACTATGGGCTTTTACTCCTTTGAGAAGCAGAGCATAGTCGTATATTGGGTGGGCTACACGATGGGCCAGTCACAGTGTACTCAGGAGGTTCTTCAACCTGACTTCGCTGTACACGATCCTCACCTTCCTCCTGCACAGTGACAGATCTTCTTTCCAGCTTTCTGAATGACAATTTTGCATGAAGGATGGTACCACAGAGACGTCCTGTAATCACCACCTTCAGTTTTTGAGATGATCGATCTCCACATGTTACCGTTGAGCAACTCCCATGTCTAACGCCAGTGCTCTTCCTGTATGAAATGCTTTATCATGAAAAACCATGCGGCGGGTGAGAGTCAAAAAGAAGATTACCGCTTTCATTTCACTCCTGATCCAAATTTCTCGATCCTATGCATCCCTTCTTCTAGCATCCCGCTTTCGCAAG